TTGTGGGGGAAACCGGAGCACCCGGAAGAAACCCACGCAAACACGAGGAGAACATGCAAACTCCACACAGAAAGGCGACAGCATTACCTACTGTGCCATTGCGTCACCCCCATTACTTTAAATTGTATTATCTAACGCAGTATAACTTGATAACTTAATGCAATAAAAGCTTAATCACATGTATAACACAGTGGAGTTTAATGTTGAATAGACTCTTCAAGCAGAATCTGCCTTTGACTTGATTTTCTCACCGAATTCCCTGCATTGTCGGGTGACAGCATGTACATTTAAACTAAAACTCAGATTAATTTACACCATTTCGTTGAAACATTTAATTTCAGTTAGCTTTTAACAAACAAACAAACAAACAAACAAAAATAACAAACAAACTAAGGGATACATTAAATTTGAATTGACAGTCTCAAAACCCCCATCCCCATCATACCCCCTCTTTTCTCAGATGGGATGGTGGGTCAAATCAAAGGTTACCATGGGCCATCTTTCGCCCGTGGGCCCTAGCTTCAGCATCTCTGGTCTAAAATGGAATTTAATGTATTTTAAAAGTAAAATTACTAGTTCTCTAATAATAATAATAATAATAATAATAATAATAATAATAATAATAATAATAATAATAATAATAATTCACTGTCAATACATTTTCCATGAGTCAGGAAAGATTTGGAGGTTTTAATTAATTTAAATATCTTTTAAAAGTCATTTAAGTAATTACATATATATTTGTCTCAAGGATAGTTAACTCCCTTTTACTTAACCTTAACTTTTTTTTAAATCTTTGTGAATGTAAATATTCTGTTAAACACAAATGAAGAGATATTTTGAAGAAACCTGTAATCATTGTGATTTTTGATATGCTTTTGATAATGAAGACTAACAACTGAGTGTTGGTGCTAAAAACAATATCTGTGAGATCAGACATTTCAACATATATATAGAAATCAATCATTTAATTATTAATCATTACATTTTTAATGGGAAAAAAAATCACACAAGCTGGATGTTTTTATTGCATGCTTATGTACAGACTCTCAAAATCCTCACTTGCCACTCCGAACCCAGACAATTAAAAATCTGTTTCAAGCATTTTTTGGCAAATTTCACAGGATTTCCCCTTGGATTTCATACAAGAAGCTAAGAGCCCAACTGCCGTCCTTTCGTTTAAATACCCATGGATGTTTAGAAATGAGTTTTTCTGTACTCTGAACTTCACATTACAATTCCGTCTAGCCCCTGGGCAGGCTCTATCTTTAAAAGCAACTTTAAAAATAAACATGGTTTTTGATCAAAGAATTGTGTCTCCTACAGTGTGCAGTGCTGTATATACAGTGAGCATGTGTATCTGGCTTTGGAAGGTCATTTGAGCAAAGTGAGAAACAGCAACACCGCTACATCTAGATAGGTGAGTGGCCTGTATGTGGGAAGAAGAAGAGCAAGCACTGCAGCAGAACCAGAACAACAACATGTTTCTTTACAGTAGAGCTTCAGTAATCATTGTGATGTTTGATTGCCTTTGAGGAACTATGTTAGCATTAAAAAAGCTATGTTAGCTATGTTTGCTATGTTGTCTATGTTAACAAAAAAAAAAAACAAAAAAAAACAAGAAACTTTTTTTTAATGTTTTTTTTTATTCTTTATGCTCACCAAGGCTGCATTTATCAGCCTCATCAGAAATTGCTAAATGTATGCTTGCTGTAAAATACTGTAATATCAAATAATAATAATAATACAAATTGGCGTCACAGTGGCGCAGTGAGTGGCAAAATAGCCTCACAGCAAGAAGGTTGCTGGTTCGAGCCTCAGCTGAATCAGTTGGCATTTCTGTGTGGAGTTTGCATGTTCTCCTCATGTTTGCGTGGGTTTTCTCGGGGTACTCCGGTTTACCCTGCAAGTCCAAAGACATGTGGTATAGGTGAATTGGGTAAGCTAAATTGTGTGTGTGTGTGTGTGTGTGTGTGTGTGTGTGTGTGTGTGTGTGTGTGTGTGTGTGTGTGTGTGTGTGTGTGTGTGAATTAATGTGTACGGATGTTTCCCAGTGATGGGTTGCAGCTGGAAGGGCATCTGCTGTATTGTTTACAGCAGATTTATAATTGTAATAAATAAATCTATAAATGAATAAATTCTGTTTTAAATAACCACTGTTTTTTAAACATACCATTCATCAACACACTGAAAAAAATATATGAGCAAGGGTATTTTCACATAAAATATGTGTTGCGAAAAATATATTTTTAGCTCTGATAATCATACCCACTGATTTATTGAGCAACAAATCAAAACATTAGAATGATTTGCAGTGAGACTTCAAATAACATTATGAGGGGTTATTTTAAATGATAGTAATGACAGTATCATCTTTATTTTCTAAACCATTTTCTATTAAAGCCATTTTTAAGAGATATCCTTTAAATGAATATACAAAATATTCCAAACTATTTTCCACTATGTAGCAAAATCACATTATATATATATATATATATATATATATATTGGATGCACCATTTAGTGCTATTGTTTCACTTCATTAAGAGAAAGTGTCCAGAAGATAAATAAACAAATAAAAGAGTGAACTAATACACGAGTGAATAAATAAATAAATAAATGACCATTAATTACAACATTATTTCATTTAAGTCACAGCTTCTACAAATGGTTCTGTTATATTTGCAATATGTTGCAATATACAATAAAGACATTCTTTAAATAAATACAATTCATGCCACATATTGATCTTTATGCTTTATAAGACCCTTGTGTACCATCAGGAACAAAATGAAGGAGAGTAAATTTTGGGGGTAAGCTTGTCCCTTTAAATACATTTAGACATTAGCACACAAAGCACTTTTGTAAGTGCACGTCAGCAATTTAAACCCCATTGAGATGTACAAACATGCAGATTTAACTCAGATGTAGCTCCTGATTTTAAACAGCCTCCAAAAACCGACCATAACAGGCTATACTGCAAAAACTCTGATTTATCAAGAAAATGGAATGCTTACTTTTAACGGATGCTCAGAGCTGGAAGCTGTAAATTCTGGGATGTGATAAATGGGGTGTTCAAAAGCAAGAGCACACATCGTACAGTTCAAAAGTCATCTGTTTATTTCCCTATAACACATGTGTCTAATACCTGGTTCATATTCAGAAGAGAAAAAGGTTCAAACTGCAAAATAAATAAATAAATAAATAAAATATCAATAAAACTGGTTCTATTTAATCGATTATTAGATGGATGGATGGATGGATGGATGGAAAGATAAAAGAGGAAAGAAAGAAAGAAAGAAAGAAAGAAAGAAAGAAAGAAAGAAAGAAAGAAAGAAAGAAAGAAAGAATGTGGTTCTATTTGATGGATGCATGGATGAATGGATGGATGGATAGATGGAAAGATAAAAGAAGAAAGAGAAAGAAAGAAAGAAAGAAAGAAAGAAAGAAAGAATGAAAGAAAGAAAGAAAGAAAGAAAGAAAGAAAGAAAGAAAGAAAGAAAGAAAGAAAGAAAGAAAGAAAGAAAGAAAGAAAGAAAGAAAGAAAGAAAGAAAGAAAGAAGGAAAGAAAAAAAGAAAGAAAGAAAGAAAGAAAGAAAGAAAGAAAGAAAGAAAGAAAGAAAGAAAGAAAGAAAGAAAGAAAGAAGGAAAGAAAAAAAGAATGTGGTTCTATTTGATGGATGGATGGATGGATGGATGGATGAATGGATGGATGGATAAAAGAAGGAAAGGAATGTTTCTTTTTAATTCATGGATGGATGGATAGATAAATAAATAAACAAACAAACAAACAAACAAATAAATAAATAAATAAATAAATAAATAAATAAATAAATAAATCAGGTATCGGATAAATCAGATTTTTTCATTTACAGGAACATTTGTTGCCTTTTTTTTCAGTGCATGACCTTAATTATAATAATTGTATGAAGCACATCTAACACATTTTCACTAGAAATGTTTGTTCTATTCAGGGAACTCTTTATGGAGGGGGGTGAGGAGACGCAACGGTATTTCCATTAGCCTATTGAATTATTCAGTGTACGTACCACAGGGATATAGCTGCGTCCTGTTATTTGTCATGTATGCAGTCACATCTATAATTGGTGCATTAATGTGATGTAATGTGCATTAAGTAACCTGTGTGTTGAGCTCAGGAAGAATCACCTGTTTTACTCTGTGCTAGTCTTTCATGGATGGGCCCTGTATCTCTCAGACCAGTAGAGAGCAGACATGAGCTGCTCTCTATAGAACAAAACTCAGAGCTTCTGTGAGAACAACTGAGTTGATATAATAGGGATGTCAGGGAGAATAAAAAAATAAATAAATAAATGATTGAATAAATAAATAAATAAATAAATAAATAAATAAATAAATAAATGCTGCTACACTATGAATGTTTATTATTTCCCATTATTGCTTTCGATTTTGCTGCTGTTGAAGGTTTTTCGAGCTGTACAAGTATTAAAAAGACCTGAAAAACAGCCCTTACCAATATTGACTAGTGATTCTGTCAGGTCAGTTTTAAACAGGAATTTAAACGTGAATTTAAAAAAAAGTGACACCACAATTATATTTATTGTATCACTATTATTTTATACTGATGATATCACACATAACAAACTTGATTTGATAATATTAAAATTCATAAATTTGCAAAAAGTAATCAGAATACAAATAATATAATTTTTTTGGAATATGTTTTGCGCATGCTACATTTTCTTTATATGTGTATGTATTTGTTTTCTTTCCTTTCCAAAATGCCGAACGCTTTCTTCCTGTTTCACGTTTTGTCGAAAGCTGTAGATGTACAGCGGCGGTCTTTTTACTGTAGTAATATTCGGGGTTTTCGGATGAGCCCACGGCTGATGCACACATCACGTCTACCAATGAACACGAGGCGTTACGGCTGCGCGCTGCGCTCTCAGCCACTGAGAGCAGTCAATGAATATTTATGGCGAGGGTGCTCACTCTCCAGCGCTCAAAGTTAGTGGATTAGCAGTGGGAGGATGACTGCGTGATACAACATCAGCACCTCGTTTGGATTAACATCCACCGTTTGCGCCAATTGCCACTCGAAATCAGCGGTGTGAAGGACAGAGGTGTCAAAACTGCACTCCAGAAGCGCTGTCGGGTGAGGACGTGCCCTGCGCATCACTTCAGAGACTTTGCCATCTCTTTGGCCCTTTTCTTCTAAGATGCCAAGACTTCCATCAGCGGCAGCAGCAGCAGCATCACCACCGCGCAGAGCCTACATCCAAGCGGGCTGCTCGTTTGGAAGGACGCCCGACCGCAGCCCATCTCATCTGCAAGTTCAGTCCGATCAATTGTGACAAAGACTGTCAGCGTCGGAATAAGAAATCGATACCCGAGACGTTCTTCTGGAATTTTAACCATCCGTTTCGCTCAAGTGAAGAGCGAGCGAGAGCGCGCGCGCCTGTGCGTGGTGCGCTCGAGCTCCTCGTCGCACTTTCAGATGTTCGCGGTGTTGATGGTGACAGATTATTGTTGTTGAGTGTCCATGCGAGACTTGGGGTGGAAACATGTCTGGCCACTTCTCTGAAAGGGTCGCTGCTATCAGAGATGGCATTTTGGTCCAGCACTTCGGTTTTTACTTCTAAAGTGCCCCGGAAGATCTTATTCATGTTCACCCTCTCCCTTTCTGTCACCTATTTGTTTTATAGCTTGATGAGCTGTTACAACTCCTTCCAGTTCCAGGAGAACTACGTGTACCAGGGGAGACTCGTGACCGAGGAGACAACTTTTGTCACGCTGAGGGAGAAACTTTACTCCAGCTCTTCGCAGGGCTACCTGGACGAGGAGTTCGTGGAGAGGACGGCGACCGAGCAGAGCCTCGCCATCTCGAGTGTGAGAAACAGCGCGGGGATCGACGAAAGGACGCCGGCATGGGCGCGAGCACAGGCGGCCACGACCAGCAGCCTATCGCGCGCTGCCGCCGCCGCCGGAGAGCGCGAGCACCTGGAGTTCAGCACCACGGACAGCGAGCTCCGCAGAGTGGTGAACTGCACCTCGGATTACGGGGAGAAAAAGCTGCCCCAAGCCATTATTATCGGAGTGAAGAAAGGGGGGACGAGGGCTCTGCTGGAAGCGCTGCGGGTTCATCCCGACGTGCGAGCCGTTGGGAATGAGCCTCACTTCTTTGACAGGAACTACGAGAAGGGTCTGGATTGGTACAGGTGCGCCTTTCACGTTTCTCTCTGTTGTGCTGCTGGGTTCATGATGACACGCAAGATGTGTGAGAGAGAAAAAAAAAGGAAAAATGGATACTAGAAATTGAGAATCTGGAGATTGGCTGTGCTTGCGATGTTTTTGATGCTTTAAAACTGTTTTTGACTTTTACAAAGCAGTTGATAAGTCAGTTGACGTACGCATTATGCACAAAAACAAACAAACACACACACATACTCATGTTCATATGTAAAACAGCCAGGAACTATATTTTAATAAGAATAATGTTGTCACATGATAACAAAATGGCTTCCTTAATGGCACTGTCTTTGATTTGATTAATATACTTTCACATATTTTATATATTTATTTTATGATTTTAATGACTTTATTATTTTACTGAAGTTAATATAATTATTTATCAATATTTCATAATTAGAAAATAAAAATGAAACACACTCTTGAAATACAAGATTGGGCCAAAATGCTGTAAATTAAATTAATACATTACCTTATTTTTTATTATTATTATTATTATTATTATTATTATTATTATTATTATTATTAGTAGTAGTAGTAGTAGTAGTAGTAGTAGTAATAATAATAATAATAATAATAATAATAATAATAATGATAATAATGATATAGTTTTACAGATCCAATCCGGCTTGGGTTTTCTTTCCTTACTTTGTAATAAAAGACACTTAAAAGACTGCATAATCTGTTTCCCATTACAGTGCTTAGTATTTTCTAAGGATTCAGACAGGATTCTGATTTAATATAAAACGTCTTATTATTTATATTAACACTTAAAATTATTAAAGGCCTTACATAACATTTAGAGAATAAGTTGAGTATGGTATTTATTTTTATTTATTTATTTTTGCCTCCAATATATTCTGATCTGGCCTGACTGAATAATCTAGGGCACCTGCTTGTCAACAACCTGTTAGCATTCCAGCATTCTACCCAATGGTACACTGACTCATTAGCCGCAGGAATCCATGAGGCTTTAAGTAACCCATCTGTACCTATTGCATTTAGGACTATCAATGCTTACTACAAACTTGGTGGTTCTTTGCTTTTATTTCTCCATTTTTGCAGTTGCTACACACAGTCAATTAGTCAGTCTACTAATACATATGTGGCAATTCAACAATGACCAAATTCCAGGCTGCCATGGATGTTTTACTCTAGCTTCAGCGTAATTACAGCAGCAGCATGACTGCTTCATTTCATGGTGGATTCATGTTCACAATCACTGCTCAGTGGAGCCAGGTGCTCTGAATGCTCCATTGAGCTCTTTCGGCTCCGGACTCCCAGGTGTGCTCAAATCACGAGCTGCTTACTCAGGTGGATGTGCTCCCAACACGTCAGCCTGCGTCAGCAAGCCATATTTCCCAGTTTATACACTCCTCTGCCACCATGCCCCATGATGCTTTGCGTGAATTATGGGAGTAATTTCAGGTAAACTGTAAAAGAAAAACAACTGGTGTCATAACTCTGCTCACAATTTATCCATCTTCAGTTTTATATTAAAATAAAACTTATAGAATTAATTAATGAATTTCAACAGACCAGGAATAATCTCTGCAAAAACATGAACCAAGCAGCAATGGATCCTCCTGTAAATTTTTTCCCAAACATTTGCCAAATAATGTTTAACAGAACAAGGAATTATATATATATATATATATATATATATATATATATATATATATATATATATATATATATATATATATATATATAATTTTTTATTTTATTTTTTCGATTGTGTACAGCAGGGGTAACCTATTTTTTTTTAGCCTGGGACCCCCAAAATATAAATTCCAATGACTCATGACCCTCACTATCCCCGAAGGTGGTTATAAATATAGAAACATTGCACAGAATGTGCACATACAACAATAGGAACTATATAAACATGAGCATGTTGAGAACACAAAAAAGTGCAGACGTTTAAACACTAAATCAATTTTATAGTCATTATTAATTTGTTTAGGAGATTTTAATTTGGACATCTTCTTCCATGTTCAGTTGTGGCCTCTTTTTTAATGTTTGCTAGTGCGTAAAGGTATCAAAGTTTAACATTGTGCTGTAAAATCAATCTGCTGAATCTGACTTTATTGCTGTGTCATTAATATAACATTAACAACCCAGGGGTCGCAATCCAATTGTGAAAAAAAAAAAAAAAACAAATTCAATTTTGATGGATTTTTATTTACATGTTGTTTTTAAATGTAACTATTAAATACTAAATTATCTATTTTAGGTTGTGCAGAAAAAATAATAATAGTAGTGGCCCCACATTATATGTTAGGGGTAAATATAAATTAAAAAAAAAAAAAAAACGATAAAAGAGGAAAAATCAATAGGAAAAAAATATATATATTTTGTTGAAACTTTGTAATTTTTTTTTAAAGATTTATTTATTTTAATATTTATTAGATAGAACAGTGTTTATACATGAAGCGAAGTTGGAGAGAGAGAGGGGGGGGGGGGTTAGGGTAGGGAAATGTCCTCGAGCCGGGATTTGATCTCAGGACGCCATGATGTGCACCATATGTTGACATTAACCACTAGGCTATTGCGCCGACTGTAATTTGTAATTTATTGCAATATTTTACATGAATTTAAATGTATTATATTTCTATTTATAAATATATTTGGTCACTAAAATGTTTTTTTTAAATAAATATATATGTTTGATTTATCTGTTTTGTTCAAATGCACCCAAGTACATTATATCCACTGGGAAAATGATAAACATATTCATTTTCAAACTAGGTTGTATTCGTGTATGCTGAACAATGTAGTCTGTGCATGCACTGTAACATGAAGTATATCAGCTTATTAAAATAATGCTTTATTAATTAATATTTAAATATAATAGACATATGTACAGTTGAAATCAGAATTATTACACCCAATTTTAATGTATATATATATATATATATATATATATATATATATATATATATATATATATATATATATATATATATATATTATTTTCCAAATTTTGTTGAACAGAGCAAGGAAATTTTCACAGAATGTCTGATATCTTAAAATTTTTTTAAACACCATTTTAAGTTCAAAATTTTAGCCCCTTTAAGCTATATATTTCACTAGTCTACAGAACAAACCATTATTATACAATAACTTGCCTAATTACCCTGACCTGCCTAGTTAACCTAACTAACCTAGTTAAGCCTTTAAATGTCACTTTAAGCTGTAGATGTGTCTTGAAAAATATCTAGTGAAATATTATTTACTGTCATCATGGCAAAGATAAAATAAATCAGTTATTAGAAATTAATTCGTAAAACTATTTTGTTTAGAAATTTGTTTAAAAAAATCTGCTCTCCGTTAAACAGATTAAACAGAAAATGGGGAAAAAATAAACAGGGGGCTAATAATTCTGACTTCAATTGTATTTTTATATTTAATATTGTTTTTTTTTTTTTTTTGGTTTTTAATCTAAAAAAAAAAAAATTATGTATATATATATATATATATATATATATTTTTTTTTTTTTTTTAAACTTTTTTTCAGTCCTTATTTTGGAGCCATTTATATTCATATTAATTTTAACAGTTTAAAATATAATATTGAAATGTTTCACATTTTCACACAGTGTTTTTTAGGGACAATGTAAACAACACAGTTGAAAAGAGGAATAATAAAAAGCAAAAGAAAAAATGTAACTTGTAAACAGTTGAAATCAGAATAATTAGCCCTCCTGAGTTATAAGCTCCCTGTTTTTTTCCCCTAATTTCTGTTTAACAGAGAATAAGATTTTTTCAACACATTTCTAAACATAATAGTTTTAATAACTCATTTATAATAACTGATTTCTCTTATCTTTGCTACGATGACAGTAAACAATATTTCACTACATATTTTTCAAGACACCAATACAGCTTAAAGTGACATAACTAGGTGAATTAGGTTAACTACGCAGATTACGGTAATTAGACAAGTCATTGTAAAATGGTGGCTTGTTTTGCCGACTATATATATATATATATATATATATATATATATATATATATATATATATATATATATATATATTTTTTTTTTATTATTAAAAAAATGCTTTTATTCTAGCTGAAATAAAACAATTAAGACTTTCTTCAGAAGAAAATATATTATCAGACATACAGTAAAAATTTCCTTGCTCTGTTAAACATAATTTGGAAAATATTTAAAAAAGGAGAAAAATAAAAAAAATAAAGGGGGCTAATAATTCTGACTTCAACTGTGCATTTATGTATAAACAATTTTGTTAATAAGAGGCTCTGTTTTGCCATTAATACAACTAAACAAAACTTAATCCCAACGTCTTTATCTATGTTCTCAATCATATAAGTAAATACAGATGTGCAAAAAAAAAAAAAAAAAAAATGGATACATCCTAACCACAGCAGGCTTTAGCAAACAACCAGGCTGAATGCTATTCTACAAAGACCAAAGCATTATTCAGCCAAGCAGTTATACCTATGGTGCCGAAAACACTCATAGAAAAACCATCTGATGGCTAGAGAGTGATTTGTTTTGAGCATTTTAAGCCATACTGTGGCTTGTGCTGGATCTGCTTGCTTTGGGCTGTGAGCTTTGGGGCAGTGCAACATCTGCCGCAATTCACTTCAGAGCGAGCCTGACATCGTAACATTCGTTCATTTGGCCGGGTGTTAATGTGAGCAGTTTCATTACGCTGCCTGTGTGGGGCTCATTAGACCAGGGGGTGACAAGCTTACATAAATAACACCTAAGAGTGCTTGTGTGTTTTAGTGTCGTCGAGGCCGGGAAAAAAAAAATCCCTTAAGCGGCCTTAAATTTGTTTTCACATGCGCTTGACGTAAAGTATGGCTTACAGGAATATCACAGTCACTCTGATGGGAGTAGATGTGAAATATGTTACTGCGCCAAACGAGAGGCTCAGTGTAGCAAGACATTATTGTTATTTGGTGTGACGATAAAAAACTGGACTTTTGATGT